GCGTTGCCTAATTGAAATTGATGCGACGCGCAGCCAGGAAAATTAGGGACTTAATTTTGATGAATTCCCTCTGTGTGCGGATCCGGGCGTGCGCCTGTTCAATGCTTTACTCTCTCGCTCTCGCAAAGCAACGTGTATAATAACATATAAATATACTTGCAGTTTGTGCTCTTCCTTTACGTGCAATATTATACACATGCGCATGGACTGGGCTACTTATGAGCTATTTTTGTTATTTTAACTTGTTGTCGCTGTTGTTTGATGCTTTGTTGGGGAAACAAGGAACGCGACGCTCGTGACTGGCTTTTTTGGTTTTCGAATTAATACCTCGGTATTTTATGTGCCGCGTCAAAATTGATAATCAAATAGAGACGTGTGTCCGAAAGCGTTAGCAAAGGCTGATGTTTCGACATCGCACAAATCCTGTGATTGATATTTTTTTCCCCCTCTTTTCATGCTTACCAAGTTATATGAAAGAAAAAAATCGGCTTGGTTTCGTATTTTTACAGCTAAAATAAATCAAGTCAATGCATAAAGTACTCATTCTTTGGCACACTACACGAGGGTAAACGAATTAACGAGAAATAGTTATCGTAATAGGTACACATGTAGAGTCTAAAGCATAGAATAGTTACGTGAACGTAACCTCATTGGATTCCAATTAATTCACCAAGTAACCGATGGAAACTATTATTAATTTTCCCAAATGGTATTCGAAAATCCATATTGTAGCTACCCTATTGAACGCACGATTGGATCGACGAATTGCCAATTATTAATAGCCCGTTTAGCTATTTGAATCACGTAAACGGTAAATCTGAAGAGTTTGTACCATACATTTGATATGGTCAGTTTTTTAAGTAAGACTTCTTTATGTGCGTTGGGTGTAGAGGAATAAACTCGTGAAGACCGAGCAAAAGCGCGATCATCAAAAAAATATAGATTTCTTAAAATCAGAGTTTTTCGCACACTGTGATTGGCCAACGTCCATGATTAATATTATTCATCTCATTGTTATACGTAAAACTTGAATAAAGTTTCACAAAATAATTCAAATCGAAGTAAAAGAAAAATTTTAATTTAAATAAATAAACTTAATCAAATCACATCTGGTAGTTTTATTTTTGTTTCTAATACTTTAAAATTAAATCCATAGAATTTTATGGAAGTTTTACTTTTTATTATAGCTATTTTTACACAGCTGCTTATTGATTTTAAAAATGCAATTATTATCATTACAAGACTTATCATAATCAAAGATATCAGTTATGATTATGAGCTCATTGATTTTCTGATGAAATGAGGTATTGTAAATTTGCAAGTGATAAAACATATTTTCGATTAGTATTTACACGTGTCGATTAGTATTTACAGATGTCAAAAATGTAAATATTAGATTATAGCTTGGAAGGGAAAAATTGAAACTAAAACAAATTAAAAAGGAGCATAAATAAATAAATGCTTGATCAAACACGTTTAACTGGATGTCGTATTGGAATGATTTGTGGGCACCACCACCGAAGTGCAAGCAGTAAACAATTATTAATGCAAACAATATGCTAACAACTACTTCTCACTAAAGCATTTTTTCCAGTTGACGCGTTTATTTAGATTGCTTCATGAATTATATCATCAATGAAAATGTCAGATCTCAAAGCTCAGAGTTGCGAGCATAGAAATTGCGAGAAACGGGACAATTATCGGTTTAACGTATTTCGAGTGAGCTTGTACTTAGAAGCGCATCGTCTATCTAGAAACGCGTCAATGAACGTTGTACGCAAGGCAGAGGCATCATCGTCCAGCCTATGCACAGTGAGATCAGTGCATAGCGGTAACTCGAGAGCCACAAATCCCATGGACTTGCTGTAAGCACTTGCTCTTTGATTTCTCAAGCTCGTTTGATGTATAGTGTCCATGCCATTCTGCCTGACTGTCCATCTACTGTAAAAGAATAAACTTGACTGAATATATAGGCTTGCTTATTATTATATTCGATTTATATAACCACGATGAGTGTCGAACTTGTTATGACCAATCAAAAATACGATCAAGATGCTCCTGTAGTAGTAGATAGTAGGAGTGCTCAGTGAACAATAAAAAGCTGCAGTACATAAGATATATTATATACATTCGTCGAGCCGTCCTTATGGATATTCTCGGTTTTACGCCATGTTTCCCTGGCATGATACTTCTTGATGGAGATAAATGACTGAGCGATGACGGCTGCTGATGATAACGTCGGTTTTGGATTGATAATGAAGCTTGATGGCGAAGACGGATCGCAAGCTCGCTGTTGGCTTCAACCGCAGAGTGAATTTTACTGCTCGCACGCTGCAGCAACTATTCGTTCGCTCACTCGCTTGCTTGCACACATTTCCTAAACACCCTCTGTTAATTACTCATTGGTTGTCGTGCACGTGCGCCCGCGGATTTCGCACGTGAATTAATAGCGATGCCATGAGATGGGATGGCGGGAGTGTAGCGGAGAAACAGCGACCTGGCCGTGTGTACAGCTTCGACTACGGATCAGAGCCGCAGTCGAAGAGCTGCGCGCAAGCTCCCACTGGCACGCTCGCCTATAATCCAATGAATCAGGTCTTCTCGCTGCACACTCGGGCTGTCGCGCTAGTCAGGGAAACAAAATGTGTAGCCAAGATTAAGTGTACACGCTGCATTGAACTTTGAAACTCCACGGGTGTGTGTCCATGCTCAAAGATGTACCGCGTCTATGTGTGAGCAAGAGAGGTGTGAAACGCTCAGTGGGTCGATTTCTACTCGACGTTTTGAGGCTCATATTCCTCGATCCTGGCACGGAAAGTTTGACCGCTACATCGCCGCCGTATGTCTATCAGCTATCTATCTACGTGAGCGAGCGTGAGTGACTCCTACTGACCTGCTTCCTTTGCAATATCTAGCATGTGTTATACTCATAAGCGTACAATATACGTGCAGCTAGCCTGGGTTATCATAGTTTCCGGTGTTACTCGACATTTTCGTTCAATCAAAATGCATCCATGACGCTCGCTGCGGAAAGCCGCACACATACATGCACACATATATGCACATACATAGCAGGAACTAATTAATTAAATGCACGCACACACGCGCACGCGCAGACTTCATTCAATTAAACTTGAGATACGTATTTGACTCAAAGAGATTAATTTTGCTAATGGCTCGTGTAATTCATGCTGGCTAACATTATCTACATTTGACAATTGTTTCAGTCGTTGATATAAAAACTTATCATTAATCATTTAGCTCTCGAGATTTACGAGTATAAATATCGTTTAAAGTTTGCTACAACCAACTTGCATACTCTCATCTCAATATCGCTACTGGTAGCACTCATTTTTTCATTCTTATCTATTATTGCCTTGATCGACCTTCCATGACCTTCCATATAAAACGTCAAAATTACGCAACTATGTGCAATCAGATAGCATTGCGGTGACATAACGGCCTAAAGGACAGCAAAATTATGCGAAACTCGCCTTGTACAGGGACGCCTCAAATGCGCCGCATTATCCAGCACCTGTTGTGCTACTTGGCTAGTGAGACAAACAATTGCGATTACATATATATATCTATGCATAGCCAAGTTAAGATGAGCTTGTACTGCGCCCTGTCTTGAGTATGTCGAGTACGCTATGCAATGTTATCGCGCCTCGCCCGATCTTACACGTCAATCTGGTGTGGAGATCGCTATATGTACCTGGTACACGGTCTACTACTTCTCGTGTTATGCGATGCGAAAATGTCGATTATGTAACTGTAATATGCAATCTAGAGTATTTTTGACTCGTAGCATTTGGATTATAAACGTGAAGTAAGATATATAAGATAACAAATAATTAAATGAGAAAATTCATTACTCCATTTATGTTTTTAGGCTTTTTTTTAATTAGCGCTGTGAAAATATGTTCAAAATGCTGACTTAATTGACGGAAACATCCTTTAGAGTAAATATAAAAAATTTCAAATATTCCAGGAATTTATTAAAGTTAGAATTATGTATAATTTAAACAAGGTTTCGAAATTCAATTATGCCTTTTGGAATAATTTTGCTCTTTAGAAATTCCATGCATATTATGAGGCAAACTTTATGATTATTATTTCAACGATATATAGTAAATTTTTTGCCTGTGTCCGTTAGCTGTACCTATTAAAGTCCCATCGTTGCTGTTAACCCTGCATAATCAAAAGGAATTATTATTGCTTTCGATGGCAAGTAGAAAATATTATCATTGAGTGGTTCCGTTTCTTTAATCAATGTACACATATATATCAGATTGCTCAATCGATGTCTTCATTATCGCGTAATTCGCGTCCCTTTTTCCTTTCTCCGAAATAGGGAAGCTATTATAATTACATTTTCGAAGAGTTCGAAGACAAGATGAATGAATAACCCATTTTGAAATCAATTTTGAAACCACGTACGAGAGATAAACGGCATAAAAAGCTTAAATTTTTCAATACACTGCGCAATAATAAATTTTAACAGATGTTGTGCAAAAGTTTCTGAGTTTATTTTGCTCTTGGAAAACTACTGTATTATTGAATCGACAAATTTACCGGTAAACATAAGCAGTTTTTTCATTTATAGCACCAATTACATGTTATGTAGAATCATACAAATTACGTGTCAAAAACTTCGAAATAACTTCTCAAGTGTTAAAAAATAAGACGTGCCAGCAATTGTTTGCTCAGATATAGTTATTTGTATAAATTTGGAGCGATCTATTATTACTTACCTTATATGATTAGTATATTATTTGAATAGTATTCTTATTTTGATAATGTATCATATTCATGCCACATTACAATATTTGATTTTCATATATTTTGTATAATTAGAAAATTTAATTTATAATTATTACTTCATCTTGTACTTAAGTTTTATCATTTTAATCAGTGAGATAAAATGTCCATCTGAGTGCACAAAATATTAAAGTAATACTTTTTGTGGAAAAATATACAATTTTAACAGACACATTTGATTACTACTTACATAAATTATATCATTTTATTCGATGATTATCAAAGCTTAAATGAGCAATGAAAAATATATAAATAGGAATTGAGTACATTTATGAAAGCTAAAAAGTATGCGTGGCTTTTTTGTGTAATCTACATTACAAAATTAAACAGTTTACATTTCAGATTTACCTCAATACACATAAATTCAGGTTGAGCTGTTGTTCAACAATATAAGTATTATATGAATGTACGATATTGGAACTTTTTTAGTAGCAAAAGCATTTTATTACTAAATAAACTAATTCGGACACGTACATGTATACTCCCTAGAGCTTGAAATTATTTTAATTTTTAACTTAAACTTATAAATGCTCGTAATCTTAAATGTATCTTCAAGAGTCACCTCATAACAAGTGAAACATAAAAAGTTCGATTTATTTTTCATGTTCTTGGCAAAAAGAGCGGCTCATAACAAACTATCAGCTTTTCTCATTCTTCTCTTCTTTCTCACCCTTCCATAAACTAGTATATTTACGACTTTATACAGCCAAAGTCAGCGCTGCAAGCACAAGTAGATATATACATGCGACGGCACACACAAGGCATTAAAGAGTTGTGGGCACTTCAACGGGTAATATCGTTGCTATGGACTAATTAAATTGAACTTTGCACACGCGCCCGACCTCCCGATGCTTTCGAACGCAAACGCTTACAAGCGCTCGCAGAAGAGAGAGAGAGGGAGTAAGAGTGAGGGCTGCAGCGCAGTGCCAGTAGTGAAACTCAGTAAATTCGTTTGTGGCACGTGACTTTAATTAAATCACTTATAGTGTTAGTATCGAATTATTTGCAAATCAAAACGCACACGCAAATGCGAATATTGTTAAAATAATGTTGTGAAAAAATTAACATATTTACACAATATTTAACTCAAATTAAGAGTGGGCAGAACGTGAATTGAACATTTTTGATAAACATTTCATTGTATTTAAAATTGAAAATATTTATGAGTATACAAAAATTGTAGGTGCATTAACCTAAATACTTTTCTTTTCTTACAGGTATGCCATGTATTATGCCGTATATCTAATGAAAACGTACGTAAATGAAACATCACTATATATTCCCAATACCATTTGCAAATATAACGTCAATGTTCAATATTGAACTATTGACTTGACGAGAGTAAGTCTGACGCGGAGAAGCTTTTGATGTTACACGGTATCCTTTTTTTTAAGGCTTTTGAAAAAACGAAAAGTAGACGCGCTCCTCCATGCAACGGGTGAATATCATTCAATCATATATTCGTATTGCAATATTTTAAAAGTTAACGAACTACCATTTGAAATTGCGAAACTTCTTCATCAGTATTAAAAAGATAAACAGAATGTTGGTATTAGTTTGGTGGTAACCGAACGATATGTGCAGCACTGACATTTCTGATATAAATATATTCCTCATGACTACGATATTGATCGACTTTTCTTAAAAGTAAATTTAATCCATTATTAGTTCCGGATCTTCAAGATCTTTATCGATTTCCACAGGGGACAATTCTACGGTATCTGTCACAGGTTTAATAGGAACTAACTCCATTTTCTCGAAATTTTCTGGAAGCCCTTCAATACATTGACTCTTTGCCACTGGCCGGAAGTAAAGATTTTTTATCATTTTTGCCCGCCAATTTTGAATCGGTGTGAGGCAATTGTAAAACATTTGATCGCAGAAACAATGAGATCTAGAAGAAGAAATAAAATATTATGCGCCTGATTTTTTTTTAAATTTTCAACTCTTGCAAAAAAAACTTACATAGTTGAACGATAATCATTTCGAAGACCATACCGCTTATCGTGCGGTATAATTTTTATCGGGCAAAAATCGTGAGCTCGGCAACATCTATAAAAAAAAACTAGTTAAATAACTCAATAGCTAATTTTTTGAAGTTAAATGAATTTCTTATTCATACTTATCAACAACAGCATCAGCTCCCAACTCGTGATAACCCGAAGCTGAAGATCCGGGTCCACACCATTTTGTCCCTGTGCAGAGATTTCAGTAAAGAAAATTGATTGATTTATCATAAGATTCTATTTTAAATGATTGTTAACCTGGGAAAATGAGTTGCATCTTCATAGCTACTTTTCTGATATCAATGTCGTCAGAGTTTGAAAATTTCTTGTACTCAGTAGCTTCATTCAGAGTATCACATTCTTGCATAAGTGAAACTATTTTGGCCATTGTTATTTCCGAAGTAGGTACACCAAATGTTTTGAAAATGTTCAACATCGACTGTTCGTCCGATTTTTCACTAAAGTCAATTTGAGTACGGATCAATCATGCCATAGGAGAAGAAATTGCATTAATTATTTTTTGAAACTTACTATACTTCCATGACTGCGCAGCCAGTAAGGGTGCCATTCGGTGCATAATTTTGCACGACGATGGCCTGCTGGTAATGAAACACACGGTCATCTTTTTTTGCTCTCACGAAGGATACCACAGAGTCGAACGCACTGCACCCGATGAAAATGAAAACACAAAAAGCGTAAAAGTTCATCGCGATAATAACGATTAGCATAAACTAGTACGATATAGATTAGTAAACGCGCGGTGCTTAGTCGGATCAGTATGCGCTCTCCAGAACTATTTAATATTCCGTAGGCACTGAGCGCTATTTCGTGACTCTTCTCTCTCGAGCGGTCTGTTATTCATGTCTCTTCGATTAGATATAAATTATATGACGTTAAGTCATAGCCGTTCGCTGAACGCTTAAAAACGTTATCAACTTTTTTTGCGATAATTCGAGCTACGATACGGAGAGAACGAGACGTGACGATTCCTCTTCTCTCAGACGATCATTTTTTGGAATCCAATTCTTTGTAATCTCATAGGTTCATTCTACACGAGCACGACACACAAACAGACGCATACGTATGAGAGATACAAGTGCGCACATGCAAGCTGGCGTGTACGGCGTTTGTTTGCAAATTGCATTGTCGACGTATAAATAGCTATGCAGCTCGTGTGTGCACTAGGCGATATACGCTTTATGAGGGAGAGAGAGGGACACGTCTGTCATAGGCAATAACCCAAGGTAACGGATGGCGCACGAGCTATACGGCGGCACGTCCTCAACGCTCGTCTGCAAGACAATTCGAGCGCCAATGCTACACCTCGGAGCGCTGCCGAGAAAATACGTGCGTACATACCGTATACGTATATGGATGGGTAAACGGAATCGTAAATTTTATTTCACAGCTCGGCTCTCGAGCGATACATATCGATCTTGTGTATAAGTCGCGAGGGAAGAGAGCCGCTACCTAACCAAGGAAATTGAGATGTGGTCGTGATGAGAGTGACAGATCAGCGATGCGACGATCGTTGAGCTCGCGCGGATAGACGCTTGGCTTTTCGCATCCCTCGCTGCTGTGCCAAATCCGTGGAGCTGCTTATGAACAAAAGTACCGCCCTCACGCTCGATTAAATATTTTAGAAGCTCGAGGCATAACGCCTCGAATTAATCCAGCATAAACGCGACTGACTAATACTTTCAATAAATAACCCCGTTGTCGTTTGTTCTGTCAGTTACACGATTATGAGGATCGTTAAACCGATGTGCGATGTACGCCACTGCCTATAATATATATCAATGCGCTGCGAAATCCGATACAAGCATTTCCCCTCTCTCTCGCAGCCGAGCTCCGTCCGTATGATTTGGTGCAGTATACGTATATACAGCAGCTAGACACAATACGCAGACGAGAGACGGCAATGCATCTTGGCTGGGAAATCGTGTATTCGACGTGTGCCGCCGGAGCCCTAAAAGAATAAGGAGCCCGGCTGTGATTTATGTCGTTTGCGGTGGAAAAGTCGGCCGATACTTTTCAACGACGAGAACGACGTGGCGCGTTTTCAGAGGGAAAAAGCCATCGACGACATGGCTAAACTCGCGCAAGCAAAGTGCTTACCTGAATCGACAATTCGCAGCCGGATACGGAGACTCGGAAAAAAGTTTTGCGTTATATCGGCTTGTTTGCCTCGTAATACAGCTGTAGCTTTCTTTCGAGATTCGCAACAAGAACCACGAACGAGAAAGTATTTCTATGAGGGATCGGCGATTGCTTCGAGACACTCTCGCGAGCCCCGACATTGTCTTCAAAATGTACGTATGTATAGTAGTGCATAAACAGCCAAGAAAGTAAGACAATGCATCAAGCTGCGCGGCTTTATGGAAACTATATGCTCGAGGCTTGGGGATGAATCAGCAGCAGCAGCAAATGCACCTGTACACCAAAGTACATAACCATCGAGCTTGAGTACAGAGCTGCTACAAAATTGACTTCTTGCGAGGCTCTCTGCCTCTCCCTCTCACGTCTTGGAGCCGCTAAACTGCTGAGATTGTAATTATCTCCTCTAGTCCAGGCGACGAGTTGCTATTACTCGTATTGCTGCTAGCACCGCTGCTACTGCGGCTGTTCACGTTGCTCCATTGTTCCCTGCACGAAGCCAACGATTACGCTTGTTCCGGCCTCGGATCGTCAAGCCGAAAACCGTTTCATCCATTACTCCTGATTTAGATAGACTCCAAAAGCGCCATGCACGTGTACATAGGATATCTCTGTATATAGTCTCCTTTTTGGCCGCTATACATTCTGCTGAGCGCCCGGGCGCGCGGCTGATCCTGCTCTCAATGTGGTCGAGCTCGGCAGATCGCGCGAGGCTTTGTTTGCCACGAGCAGCCGTTGACTCTCGGCAACGATAGTAATTATCTCTTTTTACCGAACGAGCCACATGTTGTGATATTGTTCGATGAAAATCAACTTGTATGCGTGCATTGTCGGCCCGATAAAAATACATTAGCAGTCCTGTGTTACAATCAATCACGCAAGTCCGCGAGGACAAAGCGCTGCAGTCCCGTCGCCTTGTAATTATATGATCGGCAAATCGATTTCCATTTTCCAATACCACTTAAATACGTATATATTACATACGTAGATGGCCGCTCGAAATGAATGATCAAATGGTGCCAGCCGCGTAGATATATACATGCTCGGCGAGTAATCTTATTCCCATACATAAAACGAGGGGCAGGTCAGGGCGCGCATCGCATCCGCAGCTCGAGCATAAAAACAATAAGAACGAATACACTGCTTTGGATTAAAAAGCGATTATCGCTCGACCGTGTGATGAATCGACAAATAAATGGGATAAGCCCGCGCAGGCTGCGATACGCGATGATTGTTCCACGTGTGTAAAATGACGAATAGGCAAAAGTTGAGCAGCTATAATGGCAGTGGCCCGCACCGTCGACGGAACGGCATATAATAAAAATCCCGTTAGGACTGCCTCGCACGCCTCGAGTGCAGCGAATAGTTTGAAGCTAGAGCCTAGCCCACTTCGCAGATCTTGCAATCGTGTTAGCGTGACCATACCCGTGTACGTGGTTATATATATTCGGCACTTTGGACATAAGCGACGAGTCTATAATATACGTTAGACCCTTGCACGAGCACAATGATAGCTACATAATGCCTCGATGACACAAGGAATATGAGCCTTTAATAACGAAAGTCTCTGAGGAATACCGCCTAAAATGCAGCACGAACTCCTACTGATGCTACTGCTGCTGCTGCTGCTGCTGCTGCTGCTACAATAATAAATGGAACTTTTCGGGTATAGGAGTTTTAATTGAATTTTGAAGAGTTTCATTTAAAAAGAGCGCCGGCAGTGATTGAGGGAGAAATGCATCGACCACTTGATGCACCCCTTCTCTCTCTCTTTACGTTATCCGTAGCCACTGCGGTGTGGTACTCCATTTCTTTCTTTTTTTTCTGCTTCACTTGCATAGTCTATACGTGAAGCTCGTATCTTCTTTTTTCATGCTATATTGGCTTGCTCGTGTTTTCGGACGACCGATAGTTTGCGTTCATTGCAATTTAACTCAAGTACCGGTCGTTCTTCCCTTCACCTCGCTCTACGCTAGTGCTTCAGCTGATCAGTTCTTCGGGGCTTTCTACTATTATACTACTGCTACGCGCGCAGCTACTTGAATCTAAAAATTAAAGCCTGGATCTGTTTAACTTTTTTGGATCCTGGGCTAATCACTTCGAATGTTCACCGATGTTTCCGACTCTTTCCTATCATTACCCAACCAACTAACCAGCTTTGCTTTTTTTCATTCGATTCCACGCTTTTTATTTCATTACGTGGCGACAATTAAAGAAATGAGCTATGTTGTTCGCCAATGTAAGCGTTTCTTCCTCTCTTAGCAGCCTTTTATTCGCGATCGTATTTTAAATAATATGTTCATTTTACGACAGCCTTTCTTGATCGTTTTTTCTTTTTTATCAAGACAATGGAACTAAATGAGCGATCACAAGAAAGAATTGATTCGATTGTTCGCAATTATCCTTTGGAAAATTTTCCTACCAACGAGTAGCCCTCTTACCACACTACTATTTTTCAATTGATATTTCTTTTATTGCCTTTGCTACATTACATATGCAATTCAAAACAAATCAAATGCATTTTGGTTTGCAGCATGGTAATTGAATTTATGTGAAACTCTAATTTTACGCGAGAATTTGTAGAAATAATTTTCTTCAAAACCAATTACGAGTTTTCAATAGCGAGTGGATTCATTTGGTTCTAGAATTAAAAATAGAATAAAATTTTAAACATTGGATATAATAATAAAATAAATAAAGTATTGAAATACCGAGCTTGCCGTTAGCTCATCTCAGCCGGAGGCAGGCATTGTTCAATATTAAATAAATGAAATTTTGATTCACGTTGTAATCTTATTGATATTTATACAAGCTCGTTTATTTTATCAGGCTGTGGAATCCTGATTAAAAAAAGAAGGAAAAAGAGGCGGAATGATTCATCATTGTTCTCGGCTGCGCGTCGACAGTAGCTCGTACAATTCGAGATATAACACAAAAGCGAAAAGCACTCGAGAGTCAGAATAGCCTCCCAATCTTCGTTCTCTCGGCAAGAGCTAGAGAGAAAGAGAGAAAGAGAGAGAGAGAGAAAGAGAGAGAAGGGAGAGGGAGGTAGGTGAAATGGCTTCAGCACCAGTCACATCGCACCCCTGCGTTATACACTGCGCGCCACCTATATATGTGCGCTACATAGGTATATACGTAGACTCCATCTCACATCTTCATCTTCTCTCTGTCTGAAAATTACTTGCATGCCAGCACCTCCACCGCGGTTATCTCGTCTAACAAGGCTCGCCGCCGCTGACGCCGACGCCTGCAGCAGCGCAGCTCGCGCCTCATATATATACCTATGTACGTCATGTGTATATAACCCTTTCGGCTTCTTTGCGAGTTAGCCAACGGTGTATATTACTGCTCGAGCTCACCTATAGGTGATACAGACTTTCGTATACATGTTCACTCGGCAACTACTGCGCGATATCGTTCTCGTGCGGAGAAAAGGCAAAACGACAAAAGAGCGGAAAGCCAACGTCGGGGAGGTTTACGAGCATCCGCTAACGTAGAGCCGCCTCGTAAAATTCGCCCTCGCGGCTCTCACTCCCTCTCCGTTGGAGCCTGCATTATGGCTCATTGCTCGCGCGTTTCGGGCCGTACAGACCAAATTCATCCATATCTAGACGTACAATAGCAGCTCAGTTGGTAGGCTGCTGTTGCACTACTACTGTGAAAACTGGTAGAGAGCTTGCGTGAGA